TCTGCCGTGTTTGGACGGCGGCCGTTTGTGGTTGCAGCCCCTTCTGGATTCCTCTCCTTGCTAGAAAAATAGAGCTCCATCATGCGCCTTAATTCTCGGACGTCTTCCTTGATCTCACGCACCTCCGTGCTGTTTTCCACGAGCTTGTGCTCTAGTTCGTGAACCCTAGTCGTCAACTGCTCAAGGTCACCCATGACGCTTTACTCTGATGCCAAATTGTTACAGGCCCGCGAATAAGATCTCGTCACGGGTCGGTCCACAGGGAAAACCTCCTGTTTTCCCTTGTTCCTCCCTTTTCTTGAGGAACCTATCTTGGTGCCTTAATGGTGATTTGTTCAAGAGATCACCAACTCTCCTCTACTTTGTCTTGACTGAGAATTTCGATGCCTCTATTGAATATCATTAGCTCCTTTAAACAGGAGATTACAAGAAGATAAGAATCCCACTATTAGGAGGACTCCCTACTGATCTATACTACTGAATTTAGATAAGAACACTGAACAGATGAGACTTCCTACTAGATAAAATAGAACTGTATCTAGCTAGATAAGATGAGTACACTGAATTAGATAAGATGAGAACACTGAGTTAATCGCCCATTACTGCTGCTGTCCATTAAACTCTGAATTAATTGCCCATTACTGCTGCTGTCCATCACTGCTGCTGTTAGCGGCTGTAAAAGCATCCACAGCATCTTCCATATATCACCTCCAACATGCAACTTGCAGATATCTTCACTAAGGCAGTTTCAAAGACAAAGTTGGAGGCAGACTTATGCAAGTTGGGAATGACTAATATCTATTCCCAACTTGAGGGGGAGTGTAGAGATGTAGAACAATAATGTGGTCCCCACTACTGTTTGTCTATTTATGTTACTTAGTGGTAGTTATTTTCTGTTTCTATTATTTCTTAGCTTATGTAAGCAGTAGGGGTAATTCTGGTTCGTTACCCTGTTTAAACTATTAATATAAATAGCTGAGTGGGCGACAATCTTAGTAATAACCCACTCTTTTTTGACTTTCTTCTCTTTGTCTTCTCCTCTTCTTCTCTTCTTCTTCTTCTCTTCTTCTCAACTTTCTTTCTTGTTTATTTTACATTACAACTAGGATATTGCAGTCTTACTAGACAAGTGAAACCAATCTAAATTAAAACGAATTTGAACAGATTGGATGGTCCAGACATTGAATTGGACTGGTCCAAAATATTCATTGGATTGGATTGGACCTGGTCAATTTGTAATGGACTCACATTGGACTGGATTGGATTGGACCAAATCCAGTCCAATTGACACCCCTACTTGTGTCTGTATGCATGTGCAAAAAGGTTTTTGAACTCAAAATCTCTATCAACCTCCAAGACTCTTCATATTTCAATAGATGATTTTATGTACTTTCCTGTATGTCAGGTAAGGCATGTTCTAGACAACTGCAAAGAAGACATGGATTTCTTTAATACTTGGATTGAGAAAGGAATCATTGATCGATTGAGTGTATGAATTCTCACTTTAACTTTTCTTCTTCACTTTCTGCTATATATGGATGGGTTCTGATTGAGCTAAACAACAAAAGCAAGGCTGTTTTGACTAATTGTCCTGCCTGATGCTTCTATCCCTTTCTTTCTTTCTTTCTTTCTTCTTTTCCTTTTAACTCTTTTGCATAATCCTAGGTGGACTTATATAGATGCACATACATGATCTTTTATTCATTTTGTCAGGATGTGGCTGAGAAAAACTTTGTGCACTTGGCATATACAGAAGCTATTGAGCTCCTGCTGAAAGCTAAAAGGAAATTTGAATTCCCTGTACTGTACACTACTCAGTTTTGTGAAACTTTTGTAACTGTGATATAAATTCAGTTCTCTGAGTGATGAGTCCTCGTTGTTAGATAGTTTATCACCTCAACGTGAGTTTATGATGATGAATTCATGATCTTTGCTTCCTTTTCACTTTGTACAATGATTTTATTAGCATATAGTAGCCTTTTACTCTTTGTTCCTATTTTCTACATTGAAGGAACTTAAGAGTTGTACTATCTTTTTATATTTGATTTTAGTAAATTCCTATCATCTTGTTTTTGATCAGAAAAAAGAAAAATAAACCTGCAGGATACATATTCAACTATATCAGCTTTTATAAATCTGGCTTTGAACTAATGATACTTATCTTTTCCATTCCTGTGGGTGCTGCCAATTTGATAGGTGAAGTGGGGCTGTGATTTGCAAAGCGAGCATGAAAGATATGTTACTGAAGAGGCTTTTGCTGGATGCCCTGTAATTATAACAGATTATCCAAAGGCATGTCTTCCCTCTCTTTTTTTCTCCTGCTTTTGTGCTTACTTGGATTTATATACCCCATGCACATCTTTAACCTTTTTATATATTTTTGTTGATTAAAAAACTCCAGGAGATTAAGGCGTTTTATATGCGGCTAAATGATGATGGGAGTACTGTTGCAGCCATGGATGTGCTAGTTCCTAGGGTAAACTCTGGATTTCTTATCTGTATATTATTATACTTATCTGCCATTTTAGCTGTGGACCTGTGGTCTATAACCATTAAATAATTCTATAATCTACAAAAAGAAAAAAGAGAAATTATTTTGAGGATCATTTCATAGATTTACAGTTCAAATGCACAAACTTGAACTTGCTTTTTCTACAATCTTTCTACTGACTAGGGTTTTTCTCATTGGGGGGGGGTGTTAAGGGAATTGCTATCTGTGCATCTATTTATGTGCATTTTGTGTACTTGTGTATAATAAAGTTCATTTAATCTACATATTAAGTTGATAATATATGATATATGTCTATTTGCATATGTTACAGTCACCAGTCAATCAAGTTGGGTGATGCCTTACCTAGGGAACTGCCATGGTGATAAGAGGATGAACTATGCAGACTACACTTGGCAAAAAGTTGTCCCAACCTGTGAACCTGGATCAACCCAACCCCAAAAAAGTGGGTTAGGGGTCCCCTCTCTAGCAACCCGATGTAGGTGGAATGGCCTGACCCAACCTGAAAAGAATTCGGGTTGGGTCACGGGTCACCTATTTTCTAACCAATGCTTTCAAACTGGTGCTGACTCGGATGGTTGAACCATTCAAACCATTTGAACTAGACAATTAAACTTGTATTTTTGATAAAAAATAGTGTTTTGGTTAAAGACCAAATGACACGTGGCAGTTAAACCATTGATCCATCTGACCCATGGGTCAACCCTAAGCTGAATTTTTAGGTTTAGGGTCAAGCCTTTGTTGACCCAACCCGAAAGGGACCAAAATGCCTTGACCTGACGCAAACCCAACCCAACCCGACCTGATTGCCAGGTTTAATGCGAACTATCCCTAGAATCCCCTAGAGCCCTGACTACCGTGATTTTACTTATATATGTTAATGGTGTCATCCTCAAACATGGTTTAATCTTTTGAATGGCCAGCATATGAGTTGGGTTTTAAGATCCTTCACAATATATTGTGGCTTATAGAATTAATGACACTTTATGGTCCTAGGACTTAACTAGAAGCCCATTCAATTTAAAGGAAGATTGTTTGAACCAGTAGAATACATTTCATGGTTTAGATGCACATTTACTAGTTATAAAGTGAACCTGAGACAATAGAAAAGAAAGAGAAGGGTCATACCTTTCAAGATGGTACACAAGCATGGAATTTGCACAAAACTTTGTTCCATCTCAATACTACTAAATGAGTGAAGATCTCACCTGCAGGTTGGTATTGCTTTCTTATAAGTTCTTTTTGTCCCATCATCTGTGCTGGATTCTATTTCATTCTATTTAAAAAATGTTCTTTGTTTGTCAGGTTGGTGAACTTATTGGTGGAAGTCAAAGAGAAGAACGCCTAGAATATCTAGAAGATCGTTTGGATGAGTTAAAGCTGAATAAGGAAACCTACTGGTGGTACCTTGATCTTCGCCGCTTTGGTTCAGGTCAGGGGTCTTTTTGTCTCATTAACACTGAGAACTCTTCTCATATTGCTGACTGTTTAGTGCCTCTTTTATAAGTTGTTATAATAGTAGAAGATCAAGACTGCAATCAGCCTTGAACCCTAATAGATTTTAGGTTAAGAAAAGTGAGAGGAAGGAGAAAAGAGAGAAGAGGAACAGGAGAACACAAAGGTTTGAAAAAAGGGACAGATTCTAACACATCTGCCG